CATTCTCTGTTCTGGCCCAACAGGTGTATGCAAATCAATCAGATTAATTAAATCTAGCTGATCTTATATTCTATTATTTTATATCTCAAGTATATCCGTAGACTAAGCTACTTCTATGAGGTTATTAAGTGCTTAAATTTTGTTGCTGAAAGATTGTTTATGATCTATGATCCCTTGGAATAAGCAGTTATTTTAAGATAAACAATTAGTTTGATTTTTATAAATTTATATTATAAATAGGATGAAATTTATTTATAAATTTATATTTAATTTAATTAGAAAATAGTAGAAATTACAGTGATTTACAATTGAGGAAAACAAAAAACATGACTTAAGACTTATTTCAACTAGGCATTCAACGGTGATTATTGAATCCCCAAAAAGAATCCAGAATAAAGTATATATAAATACATACATAAAAATAATACATATACGTCCATGAATAGCTAACCTCTGAATATAATACATAAGAAGAAACTGCAGTTTTTAAGAGATGGGCCTTTCTATCGTAGTCCAGTTCTTTATACTTCAATAATCCATCAAATGTAAGTAGAAGTAATTCCTTTGAATTTTTTGTTGTTGTTTATAAATACAACGTAATATACTTTTAATTAAAAATTAAAACTTTAAAATATCTATTATGAAATAAAACTAAAATACCTAGGCTAACATTAGTTAGTTTCTTTTTGAATTATGGTTATACAGAAGCTCAAGTAATATATATATATATATATAAAAGCAGTAAAAATGATATTAGATTTAAGATTCTCTTACCAATCATCAAAGATGAATTTGTTACTCCAATTGGATTAAAATATAACTATTTTAAGACATAAATGAGTACGTACAAATTAATTTAAACAAAACAAAAGTTGCAGCCAAATTTGTGTCTCCCCCACTAGAAGAGACTGTAAAGAGTTGATTGATACGTTGTTAGGTGTTGAAATTTTTACTAGGCTTTAGCCAAGCCTTTTTGACTAATAAAATCGCCCACTGTGCATTTCCCCAAATTACTTTTAACCACTTTGAGAAAAGCCGGGCCAATTTTGTCTCACTCTTAAATATTATACCATAGTTAGGTAAGAGCGGGACTGATTCAGTTACACTTAAAACTGTACGTTTCGTAAATATTAATTAATTAATTAATAATTGCTAATTACTAATTTGTAATTAATTAATTAATTAATGAAAAAGCAAAATTCCATCCAGCCGAGACAAAAAGCAAGAAATCATTATGACCGCAACTCTCTACCAGAAATCAACCGAGTATCTCCCCTGGTCCCACCCCCCACTCTCCTGCTTTTTTTTTTTTTTTTTTTAAATAATAATAATAATTCCTTAAATTTAGATTTATCCTGTCAAAATATTTACATGTTTTTTTTGTAAAGGGTCTAATCCCTATTACCACAAATTAAACATGCAACGATGTTATTAATTGGTTTTCAGCGGATATAATTGAAGGATTTAATTTAGCTAATTGTATTTATTAAATTACAAAAAACAAAGCCTTTTGAAAAAAGTAGACTTATTATTGAACGGCACCGCCCATTTTTGACCAAACTCTGCGGGCATGCATCAACCCACTACTCTCCTTAAATGCAAGCTTCCCATTTCAAGCTTCATTTTTCGTTCAATGTTATTTTATTTAAATGTATTTATATTTGAGAAATGATTGTATTAAGGTTAATTTAAGCACGTATGTACCCTTTTTTAAAAAAAAAAAATTATCACAAACACCCTCTTAAATTTTAAGTCTGAAATTAAATTCATTTAATGAAAATTTATAAAAAATTTTGAAGTTTATAGGTAGGTACAAGACAAAATCAGTTATCTTCAAGCCTCGACTGTGTTTTCCATTTTTTAAAGTATTTAATTATCGCTGATCACATGCATGCGGAATAAGGTCATCTTTGTATCCAAACAAAATTATTACGGTTCATGTTCTTTTATTACTTGTTAATAATACGACGTGGTCCGTTTAAATTAAACCATTAGTTTTTGTCTCTTTGTTTCTAAAAGATTCCTTGGACAAAATTAACTTATATATATATATATATATATGTTTATTTTGACAAAGGGGAGCGGACGGTGGAGCCCAGATCAATATTTAACCAATAAAACGACGACGTGTTGGATTTTCCTTTTCTTTTTTTCTTTTTAAATTCTTAGCGGGAAAAAAAAAAAAAAAAAAAAAAAAAAAAGGAAAGTGCAAGACTGTGTACATCTGAAACAGGAAACTGAATGTGGTGACTGACAGGCAGAACAGAAATAGAATGAGCAGCGAGGGAATGTCAGAGTCACCCCCCACTCCCTCCGGTCTCTTTGCCTCCTTTGAAAATTATTAAAATATATTTTATTCGTAAAAAATTATTGAAATATATATTTATCTTAACTTAATTACGTCATAAAAAATATGATTATATATTTGCAGATTAAAAATTAAAAATTTTGTTTTTTTTCTTTTGGAAAATAAATTCTAATTTCTTAATAAATGACTTGGCAACATCTCGCGAGTCAAAGACCCGATAAAACGAAGAAAAGTAGAGCCGAAGTTTAACTAAAGTAAACCCGTCCACGTCCACGAGGTACGCGAGGATGCTAACGTGCGCAGGGTGAGGACACAACCGAAAATACCACCACCAACTGCACCAAAATTCTTCAATTGCACTTTCTTCCACGCCTTCTCTTTTTTCTCTCTCGTTGTCCTTTCTCTGCTTTTTCTTCCTTCTCTCTCTGTTCCATACCGACTTTCTCTGTACCCCACACTGAGTCCCTGTTTGCTTCTTTTTCTTCGCGTATTTCACGACGAGAGTGACGGAGAGGGAGGTGAGGAGCGAAAAAGAATGATGGAATGGGATAATCAGCCGCCGCAGCAGCAGCAACAGCAAGAAAATCAAGCAAATCAGAGAGACTGTCTTGGTGTTAACATGAATGCTAATGTCAATGGAAATGGAGTAATGTATGTGAAGGTTATGACAGATGAACAATTGGAAACTCTCAGGAAGCAAATTGCTATGTACGCCTCCATCTGCGAACAGCTTGTTGAGATGCACAAAAATCTCACTGCTCAGCAAGATCTTGCAGGTCCGCTTTCTCTCCCACTCTCTTTATTATCCTCTCGTGTTTGTTTTGCTGTATAACATTTCATACGGCTGGGTTTGTAATCAAGCGGTGGGTTTCGCCTGGCTTTGTTTGACTTCTCTGCTTCATATATGGGCTCCAGGGTAGACTTCTTTCCAGACTTTTCTAACCTTCCATTTTATTTAGGTGTTTTGCTTGTTTGCTTTATGGTTCCGTTGATTCTGGTTTCAGTGAATTCTCAGCTGCTCATAGTTCTGGATTGTCTATTATATCTTTCTATTTCTTGATGTATTATTTGAATTTCCGACATCTTGTTTTTTAGTTGTGATGAATCAATTTTGCTTGATTTGGGTGAAATTCAGCGGGCTTTGATAAACCTTGGGCGGCTCCTTTTGGTTTACTTTGTGTTAAATTTTCGAGCAAAAGTGTTGAGAATGAAGTTGATTTCTCAGCATTGATTCCATGGTGGATTGATTATCTTTAGGAGAAATTTCAGCATAATGTCTCTCGCTATTGTGGAAGTGGAAATGATGTTAGCAATTGAATTTTTATTAGATTTTGCAATTTGGGATCATTTAATTTTGTCCATCTCTTGATTATTGATACCCGAATTCCTATCTACCTTTTTGATGACTTGGTTGTACTTTTTCAGATTTTCTTTTTGTATAAATAGGTGCACTTTGATAGCTAATTACATTTTTATCAAATCCAAGTTGACAGAGTAAGATTTTGATAAAAAGCTATTATTGAAATAGAGTATCACGTCAATATGTATCCCTTGTACAAGATAATTGCTATTGCTTTTCTTATCCTAGCAGTGTATTGGTTTCATCCATTTCTTCTGTGATAACCAGCCATCCCAGACATCGAAGCACCTGAATGAGATGAGTATAGTGAATAAATTTCAGAATTAAATATCTCAAACATTTCTCAAGTGAGAAGCTCGACAATGGTCTCTTTTTTTCTTGCATTGAAAGAGAGTAGTAATGAAAATTGAATAAGAGTGCGTCCAGAATTGCATGCTCTCAATTAATATGTCGTGCTTTAGATGCTTAATTATTTTTTATGCTTAACATTGAAATTCCCAACTTGACTCTTCTATATGGAACTAAGCGAAGCTTAATTTGCTTGGAAAGAGAGATGAGTTATTTTACATACAAGCACCGGTTTTGGGGCTATTGCAGGAGGCAGGTTGGGAAATCTGTATTGTGACCCATTGATGACATCTGGTGGGCACAAAATGACTGCCAGACAGAGGTGGACTCCAACACCCATACAGCTTCAGATTCTGGAGCGAATCTTTGATCAAGGGAATGGAACTCCAAGCAAGCAAAAGATCAAAGACATAACCTCTGAACTCAGCCAGCATGGCCAAATTTCTGAAACCAATGTCTATAACTGGTTCCAGAATAGGCGGGCTAGATCTAAACGGAAACAATTGGTTGCGCCATCCAACAATGCAGAATCAGAAGTAGAAACAGAAGTTGAGTCACCTAATGAAAAGAAGACGAAGCCAGAGGATCTTCACTCCCAACTGAATTCAGGTCCAAGGGCTGAAGATCTGTGCTTTCAGAGCCCTGAGATAACATCTGAATTGCATTTCTTGGGGGCTTTGACAAATCCAAGTGAGTACACCATTTAACATATTGTGTTAAAACCAATATAATTTGGCATCTTCATATGGTTAAAGAGTACAATACACCATCCAACTTGAGTTGATTGGACGCCTTACTAACTGTAAAATGCAAATGACTTTTTAATTGATCAATGCAGGAGATGATAGCCTGTACCAAAAGATTATACAGGGAAGCTTCAACTTCTAGGACCATGCAGAAGACTGTGGCATGGTAGGGTGGCACTCATTTTGGCGCAGCATTGTTTACCCAGATTAGCGAAATCATCATCGTGTGGAAGGTTGCTGAGCTAAAAAAACCAGATTGTATCATCTGATTTCGACTAATCATATGAACATATTCCACACACAACATACCAAATGCTGATGATGCAAATGAGACTGGTCATATATATGCCGGAGCAGAGAGTCATATCAGTGCTGCATTATAGTTTTGGAATCAGCGTTTTTGAGTTTTTGCTATAGTGTCTTGCTCTGTTAATAGACTGAATTTTTATTGTGTGTATGAATGAGAACTGTTACTTGTTTTGACATTGGCTGTGTGTTTGGAATGAAATTTTTAGTAATTGCCAATGAACAGAGTGTTGTCTGACTGCAGTCTCTCCCAGGCTTATTACCAAATCATAATTAATAGACAGTCATAATTAAGTACAAAATTCAAAGATTCTCCTGTAATTTCTCTTAAAATTTTAAATATATATTTTATTACTAATGTTCATGAGATCTTTAAGTCAAAATTTACATGATTTTATGCGTATACTCACATTTTTAGATTTTTTTTTTTTTGCTACAATCTACTTTTTTAAATATAAATAATTATTCTAATTATTTATTTTATACAAATCTAAAAATTTTTAAAAATAAGAAAAAAAAATTCTTTTTCTTCATATTCTATATAAAATTTAAAACTAAAATAACTAATTTATATTATCAAAGCCATATAAATTTTAGCAATATATTAAAAAGAAAAAGATTTGTAATAACAATTTTAAAGTTTTTTAGATTATTATTTTAAATAATTTTATATTGTCACCAAATTAAAGACAGAACAAAAAGAATTTACATTTTCTGCACAGCTAACACTTTTTCTCGGCCCTCTTCACTGTTTTTTTCTTAACAGAAAAAGAAGCTCTACATTCCTGTTCTTCATACTCCAACCTAAGCATTACATACTCTTATCTTCCCTTAATTTTTGTTTTGTTTAACCTACCAATTTTAATTATTTCGTATTGGGTTTTCTAAGAAGCTGATCGTAATTTCGAAAATCAATGGTTTTTCTGGCTTCCATAAATTCCAAATAACTCATGCGCGCCAGCTGTTCGACGATAGTTTGCAATGGAACTCTGTGCTTGAGATATGCGAATTCAACGTCAAATCCAAATCTTCTTTTCGTTCCCTTCCGTAATCCCAAATTCTTTTAGATTTTAGCTTTTAACAGCTTGTCTGTTGTTTGATATCCTTCTCTTCTCTAAGTATAGACATCTATAGTAGAGGCCTTTGGTTATTGAAGTTACAAGCATTCTCAGATGGTTAAATTCTCACTGGCTACTAAGCGATACACTTACATCCAAGACTGCAAGTGGCCTCTTGAAGTCATTGACACCCACCATGTTATCCTCCGCAGAAGCCGTGGAAAGAGTTTCTTTTCTTTCCTCATCGCTATTATTATTTTAGGAAATTTTTTATCTCTTTCCCTACTTCAGGTAAAGTAATAATTCATAATCAGAGTTTTCATTTTCTTTTCTAACATTTCAGACCATGATATGATGCTCAATATGTATTTCTAGTACGACGTCGAGATGTGTTTTGTTTAAAAATTCCTGTTCATTATTTAGGCTATGTTTGTAACAAAAGCTATCAATTCTGGTAGAATTTGAAATGTAGTCGCAATTCCAAGTGTATTTCTGTATGAGTTCAGATTTTATTGTTTTAGGAAGGATTTTTACCTAAGTGCAAATTTGGAAACAAATTCTATGAAAATTCTATGCTTGTTCTAACCATAGCCTTAGAGTTGTGCTGCAAAGCCCTTGATACTGGAGAATCAATAAAGAGGCATCTCTTTTTTTTTTTTTAACATACTCTTTTGAAAAGTTCTCATCTTTGATGTATTGGGACACGTGGAATGTTTTATAGAAGTCAAAGAGGCGAAACAGGAACATGAAGATGGTTCCATCACATTACTAACCTCAATAATACATGCAATCATCTATTTCATGTCGATTCTTGAAGTTAAATAGGATTCTGAATTCTTCAGAATGCTTGAGTATCTAATGCAGTCATCATATGGATACAGGACAAGTTGCATGCGGTTGCTATTGGGAGCTTCCTGTTAAGTGGATTTTTGCTGACATTACTTCTTTGGAAGCCTGTTAAGAAAGGTGAGAACCCAACAATTTGATGTTTACTGCTTTAAGAAGCTATAGCGTTTGAGATATCTACCTTTACTAGGAAAAGTACAAACTATATGTATAGACATGTATATAGAAAATAATTTTAGCTTCTTATCATCATTCTCCAAATTTTTATCTGAATTACAGAGTCTGTTATAATTATGCCAGCTTTTGGAGTTCAACTTGAAACACACTATTTAAGGTAAATTATATTTCTTTTTCTACTATATGACAACTTTGACAAGGTAGAATACAGCATTTATGTTAGTCAGTTGTATGCATAATCTCTCTAGGAGTTTAAGAATGTTTAATTGAAGATGCTTTTGGTATATAAACTACTGTCATCTAAAATTTATGCCTGATAGGAAATACAAGATTCTGGGGTAAATGAGATGATGGAGTTAAGTTAAAAAAAACATTTTATATGTTGCTGTTATTTCAAGTTTCAACAAGATATGATATAAACTCTTTGTGTTGAGATCAGTTGTATGCATAATCTCTCTAGGAGTTTAAGAATGTTTAATTGAAGATGCTTTTGGTATGTAAACTACTGTCATCTAAAATTTATGCCTGATAGGAAATACAAGATTCTGGGGTAAATGAGATGATGGAGTTAAGTTAAAAAAAACATTTTATATTTTGCTGTTATTTCAAGTTTCAACAAGATATAATATAAACTAATTGTGTTGAGATTTATCAGCAACCTCTTTTTTTCTAGTGGGACAATAACAATATATCTTACCTTAACCAAACTATATACTTGTATCTTACGTTAAGTAAAATACATACTTGATCTTACCTTAACTAAGTAGGATGAATCTTTCCCCACACACCTAAGAAAAACTTGCACTGGCCATGCTGCATAATCCATTGCATGGAGAAACTTTATAGATTCATGTAGTCATACAGTGTTTCAAGTGCTAATGGTGGTAATTAGTAGTAGAAATAGTAGTACTCGGCTATCTTGTCATTTATCTCTTATTTACTCCCTTACAGTGGAAGAATAATTCGTCGATTTGTTCCCATCGACAATATCTTGAAGCCTGTTTTACTAGAATGTGTGACTCCAATAACATGTTACTGGAGCCTGTCTTTGATTGTACGCGGGCAGGAAGAACTTATGTTGGTATTTAAGGTAAATTTGTAATTTTATTTAAAGGCTCTAAACTACGAAACTGCTCTCGTTGATGAGTTTGGGAGCTATAAGGAAGGCAAAAATGTAACTTTCAATGCGATTATGGCTCTACACGTCCAACGGGATTAACTCATTGCCCCTTAATTCTCTGCAAGCGTGTATAATTGTATTTTTTTTTAGCATAGGCAATTGATTGTGAAGCCAATTGATCTAGGAAGTTCGTCCACCGGTGAAGATGTTGGTTCCCATCTGGAAGGCCTTGTGCTCGGCTACTGATGGTAACAAAAGTTCAGCGGCAGTTGAATGACCAGTTTCAGTCAACTATTTCACCCACCAGCTTGCAAGTTGATAGGCAAGAGAGCAAGCCTGAAATATGGATAAGTTGAGGTGATCCTTGGAAGTACAAGGCATTTATCGCCAATTTCTTAGATTTTGTTTCTATATGAAAGGCCTGTTTTATTTTCTAGAGGAAGTGAAATTTTGTTAGGAGCCTATCACTTTTGCACTGATCTGGAAGGGATATTTTCCCTGACCTTTATAAGCTAATAGAATGACTCTTTTGCTATCTATCTAGACTATTGAAAGAAAAGTATGTACTTGATCGTTTTGATATAATATTATGGTAAGAATTTTTGTCTTGTATCCTATGATACCATTATTGGTAATATATTCATTGGTGGCGCCATTTTTTCTTCTTTTTGGTAAAAATGGCAGTGCCATTATCGGTACCATATTCCTCTTACCTCTCATAAGAGATGGAACACAAATTCATAAACTCCAATTCATAAACAATACCTTCTAACTTAAGGGGAGTTGATGGAAAAAGTTACTTCTCACTATCACCAAGAAAGAAAATCTCATAATATTCCTCTCTTCCTCTCTAACACTCTTGTCAATTTTTAATGACACCATCCTCTATGAACAATAGCATGATCTTTGTATGCTTGAATACTAAAACAGGCTATACATGATACACAAATGATTTTACAATGTAAAAATGTAATAGACAACTATTATAACTGCATCTAAGCATGGATGTCCGGAGGAGTAACATCTGATATCTCAACAAGAACCTCTAGCAGCACTTAACCGCATTATTGCACGGTCAAGACTGACTTCATGACGATGCAACCCATGCCAAGCCTCACTAGAACCAAGCTTAGCTATCTGCATATGCAGTGCCTCCATGCTGACAAGAGGAGCTGTGGTAGGTCGCCCATGAGCACACTGCATAAGACACTTCTTCAGTTATTCAAAATGACCAAAAAAAAAATCTCTTTCAGACATCTCACACAAGCAGAAGATGTTTCAGGACATGGTTGAGATGCTTTCACCCTTCAGATTTCATTGGATTGGACCACTCCAGATTTGAAGGGTGAATACGTCAACCATGCTTCCTGAGAGCAGAGAGCATGTAATAATTTTTCTGCAGTCAATTGGCAGTCAACAACAACAGGTGTGGAAAGTTTTTCTTCTTTCAACTCACTTGGAAACAAAGTGATGTTCGTTTCAACTCGTCAATGATTAATGAACATTCTGACGGCAGCAGAGAATCTCCAAACATAATTGCACCTTAAAGCAGTATATTGAGAAAATAAGATAGTTTTCAACATATAATAAATTCTATGCATTCATATATGTGGATGATGGAGAATAAAAAGATACCACCATGGTTTCTCATGTAAGCATAACTTCTAACATTAAATAACCTCTCATCACATGCTAATCACGTGCATGGTTATTGTGGGCATTAATTAACCCTGTACCTCTGCATGCTTTAGAATTAAGAACTCGAAGCACAGATGGAGGTATCGTTGACGATCCATCTGTATCAGCCAGCTAAATTGCAAAATATGAGTTAGATGTTGACCAAAAAGTGTTAAAAGCTACAAGTCACATATTAAGTGAAGAAAGAGAGTCCCTGCTATGTTACCTGCTGAAGAAATTCCAGAAGATCTATATCAGTTAAGTTCACACCTAAAATGCAGGGCACCTATATGTCATCGTATAAAGATTGTACCAGTAAGCAAATAACTTGCATAGCAGCAAAAATTGGCAAAACATATTTCAATGAATGAACTGTGGAAGCAGATGGTCTTCTCTTTAAGATGTTTCAATCCAGAAAATTACTAAATAAATGATTTTAAAAAAAAATAAATGAATGAATTTAGAAAGTGAGTAAATCACCGCCAGAAGCATGACAATGTTTCGCTGCTTGTGGAGAACATTTAAGCTCCTGCTGAGGTGATTAAAACCATTAATGTGAGTAGAGTACAATAAGCATGATGTACACGGCGTAAGAAAAAGAAACAGTAGATCTCCTATATGACATTCAGATTGCAAAAAACTACATGATGCTCCTGAGCAAACATATCTCAATTCATTTCCAAATAACAAGGAAGTCTTAACTACGAATAGCAGTAAGCTTTTAGTTTTTTCATGCAGATACCACCAGACGTGAAAGGTTTGAAGATGAGAAAGAAGAATTACTTCTTGAAGGACTCCAAGCCTCGTACATGAACATTGCATATCCAACCCCAATCTTCTACATGATCATAATAATTCTGCAGTAATTGATACCCTATCTCTGGCAAAATCTGTTATTATATACATACCCGTTTTCAACTTATAAATCTTGGATCCCATTAAAAAGTTGAAGGGACAAGCTGAAATCAAAGGCTTAGAGGAACATGTTAAGTAGCATTAAAGAGAATTATACCAGCTCTTGTTCTGCATCCAAATAGGCAACTTTCTTCTCTTCCCCACATAAAACCTAAACAGTCAATTTCTCCCAGATGTTCAAAAAAAAAAAATAGAGGAAACAGGTCCACAAGTCTAAATGACTGAGAAATCTTACCTTCTGACGAAGTTCTTCAAGCCGAATCCTTTCATCTGCTGCGTGCTGTAAAGGAGACAAGATTAATTTGTTATAAAAAATAGCAACCAAAATTTTCAGAAGATTCTTTCTAGGTGAATGTGTGTCACTGTTCTGAAAGGCATGGTTCCATGGAAAAGCTTGGGTTTCCTAAGTGTAAATGCACATTTCTATTTTTATACTTTGGTAACATTTTTGGAGGTTGCAAACAGAAGAGTTTTTCACATATCTATTTAATGCCAGTCATGTGATAATTAAGTCATCACAACTATAATATTTGAAAACACCACCAGGTTCCCTTTTGAAGCCCACTTGTCTACAACAGTAAATCTGAAAAATTCAGATTTTATTCATTTCTAATCAATCACATTATCAGTAAGTATATCATCAGAAAGAATCAGAACATTTGAGATATAAACTGGATGAAACACGAAAAACCTCCTAAAAGAATAAGTGCGAGATCAATGGACCTGATCAATAACAGCAAGTGTTCCACCAGCGACAACTGGGATGAATTTCTTATCCAGCTGTTGCAGAACCTTGGCATCTTCAAGGCAGTTCCTACCAATAGATTCAGGAACTAATGAATCACCAGCAAGATGTTGCAAGAATCCCGCAGATATATCGAGCACCTTATCTTGATGATGAAGATTAAATGATTTATCTATGTTCTGTATGAAAAAAGAAGAGTGCTAGTGATCATTTATCAACTTGGAATCAGGACATCCATCGTG